GACCCAAACTAATGCAAAACTGTACTTCGACTGTAGGTGACTTTTAATTCTAAAATATAAGGCTACTTGCACGCTTTCTCTGCTTAAGCCTTAAACAGAGCATCAACAACAACAAAAGGAAGCGATACTTAACCCAAAAAATGTAGTAAAATAAAACAAAAGCATTAAGTGTTAATGTGACTTTTTAAAATTCTACAAGCAGTGTCAAGTACCGTTACAAAATCATAAATAACACTTTCAAGTTATCCTTTTTAAAAAAGGTTATTATTTGTTAAAATGAACTCTATTTATTCAGTGCTATACCCATCTCATCTGAAGAATTGGTGTCCGAAGTCCATAACAAATTTTTCAAAGGGTAAGCGTGGTAATACTCAGCAAGTGCTTCTATAAAAATTGAAAGAAATGAAGTAACATGAGAGTCCGCAAACAAACTTGCTATAACTGCAAACAACCAAAAATTCTACCGTAAATGAGCAAAAATCTTTAATAATTCCTTAAAACCACTCCTTGAGTCTCCAAATAAAAACTATTTAGAATTGGAAATCCAAATAGCCAGACAGAAACGATTTAATGAGGCAAAACTTTTCAACAGGTAATACTCATAAATGAGCCAAGTTAAGGGCAGCGTTAAAGCATTAACCCTAAAAAAAGCCAAGGCCGATAGTAAAATTTCATATTGACTAACAAATTCTATGTCACAAACTCGCCAGAAAAAAGCTCATATCGAAAACAGAACAAGCAGCTTCTGCGTTAGTACCACCAAACAACACTGAAATAAGCACAGAAAATATTACTTCCAAATCTCTACAACACTCCCCAAACCAGTGACCAATAATGGACCAAAAACACCAACAACACAATGAACTCAGAGGAAAGAATTTGGCTGATTCTAAAGTTACCAACTACGTTAAATTTTCTTCAGAGTCCCAATAAAGTTTGAAAAAATCCAATTTTACAGGAACCTGGCAGTTTACCAATGTCTCAAAAGAGCACATACTTTGTCAGTCATAGCCTACTTTAAAAGTTTGCAAAATGCTCTCCTCATTACACAACTGAATGTTTTTAAGGCTATTTTAGAGATTAACTTTGATCTTTAGGATTCTTCTACAGTTGGCTTCTGTTCATAGACTCCATGTTTTGAAACCAAAAGAAAAATAATAAACCTTCGATTTTCTGCAAAAGTCTTGTGCAGAAGTTCTCTCTTTACAAGCTACTGTAAACTCCATGACTCAGCACCAATGCGCAACTGCACCAAGCAATGAAGGGTACGCTAAGGCCAAGAAAGCGGTATTTTTGCTTTCATGTGCTTCAAAAATCAAGTCGCTTACTCTGGATTAGTATCGGCAAAAGGAATTTACCCTAAACTTATCCGCCGCGTCAAGTTGCTAACTGTGATGCGTGAATGGGAAAACAAAGCATTTTATGCAGTTTCCCGAAACATTTCGAAAGTGTAAATTTCCAAAGAGAATGACTAGTGGGGTAACCAATCTCTCCAGTTCCAAATATGAAATTAGAAATCCTGTTGTACAATAAAGCTTAGGAATAAAACAAGAGATATGCTAGTGCAAGCAATATGTATATGTCAGAAGAACTGATGCTTGGACATGGCGGATATTAGTTCAAAAGAAGCCCTTCGTAAACAATGGGACATTTTAATGACTATCTCATTATCCCAGTAACCTATGTCCTTTGCCAATGAACCACCGGCCATTGCTTATTCAACTCATATTTGCAAAGTCAACTAGACAGCAATGGTAAAATACACCAGTTCCTGCAAGCACACAGTATCTAAACAGTCAGTGACTTAACTATCATCCTCATCGCCCACCAAGCACATCTCTGTTAACCTTTTATAAGCAGCGCGAGTACGGTACACTACGAAATCTGTAAAGCCCAGTAGATCAGAGACTAGCAAAAAACAGAAAACAGTTATTTTGAGCCGCTGTTAACGTAGCAAGGTAAGAATCCTTGCTTCTATATATGTTTTCCCGTAAAGTTTGGGAGAGAACCGCTCTGTCATAGAATTCCTGCTACTTCTCATTTCCTTCTCCATTCCCCGCCTCACCGAGGTGTAACTTTATTGCAATATTCGAAAGTATTAGCACTACAGGAAGCTCCCAAAACATCGCCAATAACCACGCACCTTCCATCACAGTTTTAATAATCTGTTCTTCTGTCTACAGAAAAAACTAACAAGTATCAACTCAAGACTGAACTCCTTGCTGCCTAAAATGGAGGTTCAATTTCATCACCATACTTCATCACAGGCCTATCCAGTATCCTTCTTACGTTTAAAATGAGCCATGCTCAGTGCTAAAAATCTTATCTGGCTACTTAGTTTACATTCAAAATTGAAATAACAGCTTCTTGTCTCCAGCTTTTCACTCCACCCACTTTCCAACTCTTTAGATAATCAAAAAACCCCGAAAAAAAGCTCAGAAAATTAAGATTAACTCGTTTTTCCACTATTTTCACTACATCTTAGCCGTAAAATGTGAAAGAAAGCTGTTATTCCAGTTACAGCAGTTACACTGAAAAATCCCCAGGCTGAATCGTCGCAAAAGATGGTTGCTCCAGCCTTAAAAAACAGAACCCATTCATGAAACAGCTAGCGATTCCCTGTTTAAAAATACAATGAATATCTCTTAAAGAACCAAAATAAAACCAATTTACGATTAAATCAGAGAAATGAGCATAACTATACCGCAAAAGATTATTAAAAAAATAAAAGTTACCAGAACTTTCAACAATTAATTGAGCACTCGCTTGAGCAGATCCTATGTCGTTTTCCGCCACACACTGATAAACCGCTTGATCCTTTTGGACTAGACCCATTATTTTCAGATGATTTCCCTCAACCTAGAAAAAAAGCCTTGATCTCTTTGAATACCTGTGATTTCAATGACCTTTTAATGATGCCCCAAATGCTTTCAATCACAATAAAGCCTCGACATCAGAAAATTTCAGGTCTAAAAGGCAATTTTGAAAAGCATAATGCAAATTATACTCAGCTTCATGTCCACATAGAAACTCTAAACCCAAAAAAGAAACTATTGCAAATGTATCTTTGAAAAAAATTATTTTCATTTCTTTATATCTCAAATCTACAAAAAACATTTTTAAACAAAAAATTTCAAGAAGTTTTAAGAAAGTGCAATCAACTTCAATCTTCTCAACTTCTGATTCCACCAGTTAATACGACAAACGGTTCCTAGATAGTTTTTTAAGATAGCCGTTAAGATAATTTTAGAACTGCAGTAAGAACAACTCGACCCGACAGCAATTCACGAGACAAATTCATTCCGAGCTAAACAAAAAAGGTAGCTCATACCATAAAGTACTCGCTTGCTATGATGGCCTCTCCATTTTTATACCATCTGACTTGCGCTCCTGGACTTGCACGTACTATGCATTCAAACTACAAAAAAGCCAAATGGACGTGCATAAGATTGAACCACTGTTTTCAAAAGTAACACACTAGGTAAAAATTAACCAAGATCTACCGAAACTCAGCAATATTATTACCTCAGCATCTGTCGCCTCTTGAGCAACTATATCCTTCGGAGCCCGTTCAATCACAGGAATGGCTGAAAATTTCAATTTTCGATTAACAAAGTAAAGAAATTTTTACCCAACAAAACAACATTAGGTGTTACCAGATACAGTTACTGTTGCAGCTCTACTTAACTTGACATTGTCGGCCCTACAAGTATAAACGCCAGCGTCACTGGAAGAAACTTGTTGTATATAAAGCGATGATAATCCAATAGACTTAATCTGTAATAACACTAGGTTAAACAGCAATAGAAATAGCTATGTGAATGCAAAAATAGTTTTCAAAATTAACAGAACCAAAATTTTAAAACGTGAACCAGTCCAATAATCTATAGAAAAACTTGTATGATACTTTATTTTCATCGACTTGAAGTATTCTAGGACCTTTCCACCATCGAACTTCCGAAGGAGATACGCCATTAATCAAGCATCTTAATACAAGTGAATCGCCTTCCTTTAAAACTGCATCTTCCGGGAGAAGAGAAAAGAATGGGCGCTTCGCGCTATTAACTGGAAATAAATACTTTTCCTCTGATGAACAACACAATAGTGAGCCTACTCAATGTTCCACAGACTCCGCAGTGACTAAAACTATTAAGAAACTGGAAAGCATTGTGTGGTTTACACTGC